TTTAATTAAAGTAGAAGGTAAGCAGTTTCCATTTGTGATCCCATCAGTTTGTGGGACTCTTTGCATGATTTTATCTACCCCTTGATGCTGAAAGCAAATGAAGCCTGCAAGTGATAGATTGTTGTCTATCCCCTTTGTGCATTGTTCAAGCTTGAGTGTACAGCACACCAACAATTCCACACAAGAAGACAGATATGTAAATCTTTATTGGACAAGCCTTTTCTCTTTAGCTGGTATAGATTTCCATATTGTGAAAGACTTCAAAGATGTAATTATTTGGCAATAAGATCTTGACTTGGCTATGTTTGGAAAATGCAATATTCCATAGCCATCAGCCAAATACTAATTGCATAGAGGTGAAAACCGTATATTTTAAGCATCACAGGCACTTCAACTATTTTAGGGAATCTAAAATAACAAAAGATAACCATATGAACACATTATTGATCGTATAACCATTAAAAACACAATTCAACGAACACACTCAAAAAATGACATGAAGTACCATTTCCAGCGCACCTCTCACAAGCAACAGGATCTCCCTACAAAAAATTAAACGTGGCAACATAAAATAATGATATAAACACAGCTTAAAGCACTTGCGTACACTTGCTTTACCTAGTGACAGATTGAATTTTTACTCTAAAGATTGAATATAATAATGTGCAGTGTGAGCTAAATTTATGCCAGAAATGAGGAAGAAGAATGTAATCAAGTTCAAAATTTATTGGAAATAGGGCTTCATCTGTTGTTGTGGTTAACATTTTAGCAATGTTATTGTGGATTGGGTAGTACTCAAACGAAACTAAAATCTAGTTTATTGCATCGTCTATTCTGGTCAAGCACGTCGTACCCAACATAATCCACCTTTTATTTCTTCCCTGGAGCTAAAATTATTACTTCGCAACAAAATTCTAAAAGAACTTTTAGAGAATTTCTCTTACACTATCGTGGATAGAAGTTTCAGTCTTTCTTAACCAGTACTATTCAAATTAACAAGACTACAATTATCACAACAGGTCAATTTCTACGAAAGGAAGTATTAGTACACTCAAAATAATATTGCATCGTCTATTCTGGTCAAGCACGTCGTACCCAACATAATCCACCTTTTATTTCTTCCCTGGAGCTAAAATTATTACTTCGCAACAAAATTCTAAAAGAACTTTTAGAGAATTTCTCTTACACTATCGTGGATAGAAGTTTCAGTCTTTCTTAACCAGTACTATTCAAATTAACAAGACTACAATTATCACAACAGGTCAATTTCTACGAAAGGAAGTATTAGTACACTCAAAATAAGCAGAGCCCAGAACATGATTCATATTCCTAAGGTTATGCAAGAATTGGGTCACCTTGAGACCAAGAAAAAGGGAGAGAGCAATGGCACCCAACACACTGACAGTAACCAAGAAAGTCTGAGTGTCAACAGCGGGCAATTCAGAGCCTGTGAATAGCAAAATTGGACTCTTTGCGCTAATGGGCTGAATAAATCCTTGCAACAAAAGTTTGGAAGAAAGACAAATGGAGGTGGCCGACGGGATCTCTGCACTTATAGATACAGGAAGAGTGCAGTGAGAATGAAACGAATAAGAGAGAAAAGAACGAACAATAGTAGAAGAAGATGAGTGAAAAAGTCGTGGTAGTGGTGTTGCTGCCATGGAGATATTGAAACGAGTGGAGCTCTGGCCTTTTGTGTGGGCTGCAGTGAGTATTTTCCTTTCCCATTTTTTTTTATCAACTATAATAAAAATTCGGGGAAAACTCCTAAATTTACAAATTATTTATAAATAATTTTTTTTAATCATGCGTTGTGATGTACCCACGGACATTATTTTCTCATTCAATATTAATTTCTATCTATTTATAAATTAAAATCGTTATAAATTCTTCTCTATGAAACTCATTTTTCTTTAAGGCCTTTTGAAGCCACATTTTCCAGGAAAAATAGATCTTGCAATAATGATTTTTTTTAGCGAATGTATAGTTAAAAAATAAGAAAAATTTTCAATTTACATGTAAAATTATTTTAAAGACAGATGTGGGGTTAAAAATGAGTTTTAGGTAAAATAGAGCTCAAATGTTAGCTTCATTTTCAACTACAGGTTATCTTAATAAAATAATTTTTTTCAACTTTTTAATTATATATAATTCAGAAAATCACTTTTACTAAAATCATTTTTCTCTTAATAAAATATTTTTAAAATATACACATAAAATGGACCCTTAATTTAGAGAATAAGCCTTGATTCTATTATTTTCAAAATACACTTTTCTCTATTTTTTTTTTAATCACGCAATTTTCAATAAAATATTATTATACTCAAACCCAAAAATTTTCCTTATTTTCTAACCACGCATTCTCTATTAATCTATTATTTCAAAATGTATTTTTACAATAAAATGAGACTCAAAGAGCCAATAGTGTTATAACACCGGCTTAGATGACGTCATGTGATAAACTTAATGAAAGGTGTAATTAAAGCCCTATTTGGCTCCCTTTTTTTCAAATTAAGTGAATGTTTGATATTGATTTTTCTCCCCAAAAAATCAGTTTTTTTATTGTTATTTCACTAATTCAGCCATTATTTTTTTATTTCTTCTCTTACATATATGGTCCACTTTTCTTTCTAAAGATCAAAAATTCAATTCTCAAAATCACTACTGAATAAACCCTAAAATGGGTGGAATGATATTTTTTGAAAAATAAATGGTTAAAAAAGAAGAAAAAATTTCGATTTACGTGCAATATTATTTTTATGAAATATTGTGTGATTGAAAATAATAGAGAAAAATGAAATTTAATTTAATGTAGACCAAACGGGGATTAAGTAAATCATTGATGTTACGTTAATGCCACCTACCAATATTTTAACACCAATAATATAATATATATTAAGTTCTTGTTTGGTTTCAATTTTAAGTCAATTAAAATCAATTTTTTGACCGTTATTTCAGTGTTTTAATCGTCATTCTTGAATTCTTATCTCACGGGTAGGATCCACTTTATCTCTAACGGTCAAAAAATTAATTCTTAAAATTCCTACCAAACAAGCACTAAATAAATATCACATAACGTGATAATCATTTTTTGGACAATTTTAACCCTTTTACAGTTCAATTATTTCAATAATACCTCACTTTCGTTTTTCAATATGTAATAAATACTATAAAATTTCGTGTTATTAATTCTCAATTAATTAATATTAATATTAATCTAGACTCAATGAATCTTATTTTACATGAATTTAGAGTTATTATAGATGAATTTATTTCTATTCGTATATCTATGAATTTTAAAGGGTGTTTAAATTCACGTGTTAGCAGTTAATTCTTATGTACCAAATGAATATTGACTTAATGAATCTTGATCTCTATGAATTTAGAGTTATTAATGATGAATTTATTTCTAGTTATGTATCTAAAAATTTTAACGGGTGTTTAAATTCAATATATCGAATGCAGTATAAAAAGGTTACTAATTTTTTTGCATTTCATCATCACAAAAAAATTGAATCATAGAAGTTGAGTTTTGAGAGTATAATTTTTTCTCTTAAATTTTTATCCCAAAATTTATTTATTTAATTCATTTGAAACTTATCAAATCCTCAAAACAAATTATTCGCCCATTGAAATGGGATCAAGAAAATAACTTAGATTTGACCAAATGAGAGTAAATAGATTTTTTGAAAATAATTTTGTGAAAAATGATATTTTTGAAGAATATATGATTAAAAATAGGATAAAGTTTTGAGTTCACATAAGATTATTTTATTGAAAAAATGTGTAATTAAAAATAAATTTGAAAAAAAACGAATTTTAAGCATCCCTACTAAATCGGAGCATCATTAAGTATTTCTTCCTAGAGCAGACAGTACGTAAGTTAACGATTTGGACACAGAAATCCAGTTATTACAAAAAAAAAAATGTGTTTTTTTTTTAATGACCATAATCTCATGCCCAGTCGTTCTCTTATGTCTCTTATGTAGCCCATCTTAACCCATGATCTTTTCCTTAAGGGAAATTGAAGTTGAATTTTGGTACTAATTGGACGAGTTAAGAGAAAGGTCATATGAGTTCGAATTTTGGAGATTTGATATAAATTCGTGAAGAATATAATGAGCTCAAACTCTGAATAGTACATAAGTTAACAACTTGAACATGAGGCATCCCTCTCAAAAAAGCCGAGAAGAACCAAATTTAAGTATCTACTGTTTTCTAGCATGTAAGCTAGATTGACACACTCAAGTTGGTTATTGGTCAGAATTTAATGTAAGTAAATTATTTATTTTATACTGAACATTGTTGTCAATAATTAAAATTTATAAAAGGAAAATTACTTAGAAACATACCTTTAAAAACTAGTTTTCAAAAAATAAGGAGAGTTAATTTTCATTTCATAAATCTAGCAATAAATAGAAATTATTAAATTAATTAATACATGATTATAATAGAAAACGTTTTATATATCCACCCCGCCGAACACAACCACCCACTCAATTCAATATTTTTCTCTCCTCTAGTTTTATGTTATAATCCTATTGCCAAATTTCCTCTTGAATAAATTCTCCTCTTGCTCTAATCTTTCACTTGGAGTAGCAAAAGCTAATAGAATCAGTGGCGGACGCAGATATTTGAAATTAGTAGGGCACGATCAAAATTATTAAAAAGTTACTAAAAAATTATGTATACTAAATGAACACGTACAGGTGATCATTAACATAGATTCACAAATCTCATATTTATAATAAATATTAATTCTCAAAGAATTCCAAATAATTTCACATAAATAATGAATAACAATTTTTAGAGAATTTTCAAATTAAATATCGCAAATGACAAAATAATCTTAAGTCTCACTCTCTCAGTTGTTCAGTTATTGCTGTAACTTCATTCTAATAAAAAAGTCCAACTACCATTAATGCCCAAATCTGATTTTTGGTTCTAAAAATTTAAAAAAAAATAAAATCTGGAAAGTTGGTGGGTCACTTGACCCACCAGGACCATGCATAGGTCCGCCAATGAATAGAATCTCATAGAAAAAATGGCAGGTGATTGAGAAAGAGCATTGAAGAGGTAAAATCGAAGGCTAAGCTTAATCGAACCACTGGGAAGTGCTCTCCGATCATTCTACACTTTTGGACGTCACGGTGAAAGGACTCCAAGCACATGGACCAAGTTTTCTCTCATCTCTCCACTGATTTCCCCCTAGCCCACTTTCTCGAGATTTATACTTACCTTTATTCTATCTCTCTTTCCGAAACACACACAAAAATAGTTTTATGATAGCATCATTATTATTATTATTATTGTTATTTTCAATGTTGATCTTATTTTTGTTATAATTGGTGAATATATTATATCTCTTTCCTTTGCTTGTTTCATTTTTTTTTTTTTGAATTTAATATGAGGAATTTAAACATTATTAGGCAATAAAGTAAGAAAAGTCGATGGAGAAGACAAAGAGAAGGGACGGCTGATCATTGATATAAATGTTTATAAGCAATGGATTTCAAGAAATGTGCGAGGCGACGTTGCCATGGAGCGACGGTTGATTGTTGATATGTTGGCGGAGAAGACAAAGAAAAGGGAACAGATTGTGTAGTTGTTTTGAAATTCTATTTTGTGGATTTTTATTTGGGTTCGGCAAAATGGAGGGGAGTGTTACTATGTAAACGATGCACGCATCTTTTTCACTTGTAACTGTTGGATGGGAAATGGTTCAACTCTTTGTGATTAGAATCTGACGCTGAGAATAAAAGTTATGATTAGGGACATGTAAACTTTCACCTACAACTGTTGCTTTTACAAATTTTGGTCAGAGAGTCATAGTTAACACGTAAAACATTACAAGTAGTCAAAGTTAAAAAAAAAAAAAAAAAATTGGTCACATGAAGTCATTATTCACATATTAGATCACAAAATAGTGTTAATATAGACATAGTCACAACTAATGCATTACAAGTCACAAATATTTACAACAAAATTAGACGTGGTAACAGTTAGTCACAAACAACAAAAAATTGCCATAAAGAGTCACAGTTAACACATAAAAAGGTCACAAATAATCACAATTAACATTAATTTGGTCACACAATTAATTTGATAATTTGTGACCATGAAATAAATTGTGGTTTAAATTTTTTTGATTTGTTGATCAACTAATTCGTGATTTAAAAATAAGTAGTGATAAACTAGTTTGAAAAATAATTTAGAAATAAGTTGTGATCTATAAAATTTGTGATGGTGACTAAGAAATAAGTTATGACCAATCAATTTGATAAATTGTGACCGATAAATAAGTCGCAACGTATAAAATTTTTGACTTTGACGTTCTATATTTTTTACTAGTACGTAACTGTGACCATAAACTATATGATGTTGTGATGTTAATTTATTTATTTATCTATTTAATTAATTTGATAAATTATGAATGAGAAATAACTTATGATCTACTAACTGTGTGTTTTATGTTGATATAGTCAGGTTTTGTTTAACCATGACTATTTGTGATCGGGTATGTGTGAATCGTTATGGTGTGTGACTATATCTGTGTAAGACGTTATTGTTTGTGATCAAACTTGTGTTATTGTGACAATTTGTGACTAGCTTTGTATTCATTATGACTATTTGTGATCATGTTTGTCCTAACTGTGACTGTATATAACCAAATCCGTGTTAACAATAACATGCGTAATCAAAGACATCTATCAACGATTAAGGTTTGTAACATAACATGCTTACATTTAAAAATTCGTGACAATTTATATGTTAACTATGAACCCCTATGATTAAATATGTGTTAATTGTAATTTTCTATGATCAAGTCTGTGTTAACTGTGACCTATTCTGCCTAATTTGTCTTTATTGTAACTGTAGATGACTAGACTACATTCTTTATAACTTACTTCCAAGCCTCCATCATTTCTTATATACTTGGTGCTAAAACGACATTATTTGAGAGGTTCACTATACTGTCAAATAAAAAGTCACTTCTATCATTCATCTAAAATATTATATATAAACGGTGTGAGCACAAGCTCCATTCCAATTCCCTGGTAACAAACATGAATAAAAAAGACAAACCAAAATTCTACTATGCTTTGGCTAGAATTTTTGTACTGTAAGAATTATCGTGCAACCACCTACACCAACAAACCAATCACCTCACCAGCATCGCCACCACCGCATAGCATTGATAAACCTCGACACCACAGCTAACATGATGAAAAGAAAACAAAGGTAAATAAGAAATAAACCCAAATTTCCCCATATGAACTAATCGAGTGTTTCACATAACTACTGAAAACTTTTCAAAACATTGTTCCGACATTAGATCCATCACGAAAAGGTCTACCCAAAATCTCCCAAAATGGTACCCAAATCGAAAATCCATGCTATTTTCGCGAACACCGGTGCCGCAACAGAGCTGCAGCAGTACAAAGCGGCCACCATGGTCAGCGGCGTGAGCGCCACGCAACTGCATCCCTCACGCTACCATAGTAATGTTATCACCGCAATTGTTCCCCTCCTTTTAGATGGTTGTGAGAGAGAGAGGGGGAAGGCGTTGTGATAGAGTGTGAGAAAGAAGTGAAATTTTGTTTAGGATTTGAGGGTGTGGATGGAACGGGTAAATGGATTAATTTAATTTTATTATATTATTTATTAATTTTTAAAATTTGATTTAACACTTGAATTTAGAAATATTTTAGCAAGTTTGTTAGATTTTTTAGGCCATGTTTGATAGGCATGAATTCCATGAAAAATGAAATTTGATTTCTACCCTAAACCAAAAATGGATGTTTGATAGGTTTTTTTCTAAGAAATTCATTTTCCCACTTTGATGCCACCTAAGCCATTTTCCACCAAATTGAGGAAAATTGGTGAGAATTCATTTTCTAGGCTGCAAGCCTCCTTATTATTATTATTTTTTTTATGAAAATAAATTTTATTCCTAATTGTAAAATTTTTTTCTCTTTAATCGACAATTTTTATGTAAAACAAAGTCAAACGAACATTAAAATATAGATGATTTTCTTGATTTTATTTTTTTGATTTTGTTTTTGACAATGGAAACAAATTACATACTCAATGCCAATAAATTATATTCTTTTAATCGACAAATTTCATATAAAATAAAATCAATCGAATACAAAAAAATACTTTTATTTTAACATTTTCATGTCAAAAATTATACCAGTTAAACACAATAATTGATAATTCTCAGTAAAACAATTTTTAGGCAATTTAATTCCCTAAAATTCATTTTTTTCAATCTAAATTTTATCTTTACAATCAAACGGATCCTGTAATTGTTATAGTACAGTAGTTGTGTAATTTTCCCTTTATAAAAATTCAACAAATTTGCATTGCGGGCCATACGGACTTAATCGAACCCAACTGCAACACGGTAACAGACCAAATCAGCAATTCCAATAAAGACCAAACTCCAAATTTGAAGCCCTAGTCCCCGGAGTATAACCTCTCCCCAAAACTTAAATAGAAAATTAGGAATTAGGATTAGGGTTTAGATCTTCGAATATTCCTCTCACTATACGTAAATTTATCTAATCCACCTTACTGTAATTCTAGGAAAAATGCATTAAAGATTGAGATGGGCAAGGAAGAGGTGGTGGTGAAAGAATCAAGAGCAGAAGAAGTTTCGTCTTCCGAGGAAGAAGAAGGAATGGTGAAAACTCCAATCAAAGAAGCGAGTACTGACGACGATGAAGAGGCAAGTGTAGACCTCAGTTTGAAAATCGTTCAAAGAGCCATGCTACGAGCATGTAATGGAGATCCCCAAAAAGACGGGGTTTCCGACATTGTTACGAATTTAAAGGACAAGAAAAAGAAAAAGGAAAAAAAGGAGAAGAAAAAGAAGAGCAAGGAAACGGAAGCCCCTCCAGAAGATGCTGTAAGTATTGAGTTATGATTGATTTAGCAGGATAAACAAAATCTGTTTTTCGAAAAATTAGATTTTTAACTTGGTGATTTAATTGGCGAGTTATCAGCTAATAGACAGAAGAAATTGATTAATGCATTAATGAGTAATTTATTTCAATTTATAATTTATGGGTTTCTACTTTTTATTCAGGATTCAGGTGAATTAGATGCGGGTTTCAAAAACTTTTGCGGCGAATTGTTCCTGGTAGTTTGAATCATAGTGTTTTATATGCTACTGCATTGCTTTTTCCCTAACAATGATTAGCTGATTTTATTTTTATTTTTTGAATGTTTATGGGATAGCAGTAGAATGGAATGCACAGTTCAACGTTTAACTTAAGCAATATGTTAATTATATACATGGGATCAAAATAAATTTTCCATTTATTAATGATAAAGCAACTTCACATTTACTTATTCCTGGAGAAGTTTCTTGAATGGGAACATACTTCTTTGTTCATAATATTCCATTGTCAATATGTGTTTTCATTATTATGTTTCTTTTCTTTCCTATTGAATTATATAATGCTTTAAAATTGCAAACTTTTTTATTTTATTTTATTTAGCAGGTGCTCTGAGCTATTATCTTTTCTCATGGTTCTTTCACTCTCTTTGACTGTTTTAGGAGGAAAATGCAAAGGATGAAGAGAAGTCTGAGACTTACAAAGCTACTGAGATTGCTTATAAAGCAGTTGAAGTGAATCCTGTTGAGATGCCAGATAATGCTGTCCTCAGGAAGCTTCTCGTGAGTTGAAGTGATTTGTTTAAAAGTGTTGTTTTTAAGATATCCAAACATTCCATTCAAAAAGGCTTAGTTCGGTGTATCTGTTTATTATGCATTGTCGTGACCTCAGCGGGGGCCTAGGTACTTTGATCCTCCGGACAGTTGGGGAACATGCTATAATTGTGGTGAAGAGGGTCATACCATTGTCAACTGTACTTCAGCAAAGCGCAAGAAGCCTTGCTTTGTTTGTGGGAGTTTAGAACATAATGCCAAGCAATGTTCCAAGGTGTGTGGCCAGATGATTTATTAGCTGACAGATTTTACAGATTTGCTTTCTGTCACTTAACGATTCTTCTTACAACTTATTTTAAATTCCAACACACTGTAATTTACTTTATCTGGAGTGACATAAATTTAAAGTGCATATGCTTTTCTTGTGCTGGTTCGTATGGGCAAAAAGGATATCTAAATTTTGTATAGATATTTGGTTCAAAGTAATATATCTGTACTAGAATGCTTGCTAGGTGGTAGTGGTTTTCTCATCCACCCCCATTTTTATTGAATAAAATTGAAATATCTTGGCATCATGTAAAGGTAAAACTTTGAGAAGGGAGCAAGCATGTAACTGGTATGCACGTCAGGAAGACTGATTTCTTCGTGTTTACCGCTCTTCACATCTAATCCTCTGACTCCAGGGGCTATGTGGAATGTGGGGAAGACTTTCACATTTTTTTATTGTCTGTAGACGATTGTGTTTTTTATCTATAAATATTGCCTGCAGATGATATCCTTATCGTGTAGTGCCTGAAAAATCTGTTGACACATGATAGCTTTATATATTAGATGCTATTTCCGAAAATGAAACATTTAGTTACTTATGAAAGCTGCTGTCTGGACACAGATGCCCAAAATCAACAGAGAGGTGTAGATGTGAAGTCTCTTTTACCGGATAATTTTGAAACTGTCAATAGTGGTTTTCAATGTGGCAGAGTTTTCCCAAACTAAAACCCGTTTGACAAATGATTGAGAGGACATTTCCAAAAGTTCTGCGAACATGGTGCAGGGAAATTCATTACATTGTATTTGCAGCAGACTGATGGAAGATGTCCATATAATTCTGCCAAGCACTTTACTATTTTTTTTGAAATAGTCTTATTGTACGTATACACCCATTGATACCACTGTTCATGTGCGAACTCATTTATAAATGATCTTGTAAAGGATTAAACAGTATTTACAGAGCATGAATATCTTATGCTTTTGATTTGGTCTAGTTCGCTGGTATTTTATTTTTTCTATCGTACAAGGCTTCCTCTAGATTTTAATTATTGTGTTCTGTCTTGTTTACTTAAACAGGGACAAGATTGCTTCATCTGCAAACAACAGGGTCATCGTGCAAAAGATTGCCCTGAGAAAAGCAGAGTGGAGCCACGAAGTTCTAAGATATGTTTAAAATGTGGAGAGTCTGGACATGATATGTTTGCATGCAGGAACGACTATTCTCATGATGACCTCAAGGTTCATGACTCTTCTGTTTGTGTTTGTATCAGTCGTGTTTTTTTTTAATGGTCTCAAGTATATGACATGTTGCTGAATGCATATGGGTCTGCTCCTTGATTTGATTGTACTAGCATATAATGATTAATTTTTAGCATTCCCGTTGATCCTTGCAGGAAATGCAGTGTTACATTTGCCAAAAGTTTGGTCATCTGTGTTGTGTAAACTATACTGATCCCACACCAAGAGAGCTCTCCTGTTATCGATGTGGTCTCTTGGGCCATACTGGTTTGGTGAGTCTACAAGATGTTATTGGTTTTGTTAGCAAGTTCATCAAATTATTTGGAAGACAAAATGTTTAGGACCAATTTAATGTTGTATACAATGTTTTAAACAGTTAATCATTTACTGTAGTGTCCTCGTAGAATTAGTTGTATGCTGAAACTGTTGTAAACTTTTATGTTCTTGTTTGATATGTTCTGTCAGTAGCCAGTCACTAAAATATCAAGTCATGCATTTCTACCACTTTCTGTACGTTGTCAGTTTAGAGTAGGATCTCAAGACATCTTCCCCTATTTTCTTGTGGACAATTCACGATCTCTTCAATCAGCTGTGGTAGTCTTCTTAATGACTTGAGTTCTTTTGAGGGGAGGATTGTAGCTGGGGGCTGGGTGATTGGTTTGAGAATTGGCTAAAAGATGCTTCAAATAATCATGTTTAGCTTCATTCCTTGGTTCGAGCTGAGTAGTTATCCTCCTCGTTGATATGCATATCGTTACATTGGGCATGTTGAACATGTTCCACTTATTCATACGAGATGGTATCTTTGCATGAGTGGACAATGTTTGTCGTTTGATGTACCAAGTCAGAATCTCAACAAGTGGGAGGACTACTACGAGTTTAACAACGCACTGAACTCAAGGAAGCAGTATATTTGCAATATTAGCGTTTTGCTATTTGATTTGGGAGGTTTCTTGCATCTTTTTTGGCTTGATCAATTACTATTTTTTCTTATTTATGCAGGCTTGTACAGGGTCCCGTGGGGATACAACTACTGGATCAAGTAATTCCTGCTACAGGTGTGGGGAAGTGGGGCATTCTGCTCGTGAATGCACCTTCAAGGTTCCACATTGTGCATTTCATGATCCTTGGCTCTTAATTGTGTCTTTTTAATTCACAAACTCTGAACTACATCTGTATTCGTATCTCTGACCGAGAACCTTATCTTTATTTATTCACTCGTAGGCTGTCAAGAGAAATCGTGAATTATCAACCCCCAAGCAGAAACCTTCCAAGAAAAATAAAGATCACAAGGAACATAATTCCGCGCCTCTTGATCTTGGCAAGAGTTATAAAAGAACTCAATATGGAGGATACACATCAGCTTCAAGAGCAAAACACAGAGGTGGTTGGATCACTGAAGATCCTGGAGATTATCATAGCAATAGATTTGAAGACAATAATTGGAGATCTCCTGCAACACCAAGTAGCAAAAGAGCAAAAAAATTTAATTCAACTGGTGATAGTGCTTCAAGTTCTCATTCTTCAAAAAAGCCCCGTAAGCTTCATTTTAGTAATTCAGCCTCAAATGGGTCAGCCAAGTTTTATCAGCAGCCGAGGTTTTCTGGCTCACGTTTTGGCAACAACAGTTATGATGGGACGAGAAGAGATTATGGTTGGTGATGGGTAAGTGTGTTTTCCTTATGCTGGTTGTCTAGGCATTTGCTGCGTCTGGACATATATCTGGAGAAGACTATGCAACTATTCTTTGCCTTCTGGGAGATCATATCCTATGGATTCTTTAGGTGGCTAAATAGAAAGTCAAAACGTCAAACTCGGCCTGTGCTTCAATTGGATATCAAGGAAATTTCTCAACTTAAATATAAACCTAACTCAACATTGGCCTTATATTCTTCCCTCAATTATTTTCCCGTGTTTTATTGTATAATATTTCTCCCTGCAATGAGCCTTTTTTTTTCCCGCCAACACGGCTGTAACTGTAATGTCGTTTTAACAGATTTCTATAATATTTATTCAACTTTTTCCCATATTCCTGCCTCCTTGGATATTAATATCCATTTTTATAATTTATATTTCATTGTGAAGCATTCCACATTTCCACTATATTGGCTTATAAGTAGCCATGAATAAAATGAATTAGCAAAAGTTTGTCATTTTGATTGGCATGATGAAACTTGTAAATTGATTTAGACGATTGAGTATTTTAAGGATCTGAATAGTAGATAATTCAGTAATTTGAACTCGAAGAATCTTGCTTTGGTGCTTGTTTGGTAGGTTCTTATTTTTGTTTCCGTTTCTTGTAGAAGAATTCTGTCTAACGGTTGATATAGCTCGACAAAGAACTTTCAGAAAATTATTCGGAAATGTTTGAAAGTAGTTTCTAGTTTTAGAAATAACTTTTGGATTTTTCGGAAGTTTGACAGGAACCTTAATGTAAGGACAAGAAAGAGGTGGAACAATTCTTTGCCACATAATAGAGATAGCAAAACAGCAAAGAAATACGCTAGTCTCTTTTATTTTCATCTCCGTTTCCTCTACTCTAGTCCATGGCATTCAAATTCAATATTTCCTCCATCCCCAATTATGCATATTCAAGGCCAATTCCAAACAACTCATCAGCATGCAGCCATAGGAGCCAGTTTGTGGTAACAAAGTGTGAATCGAATGAAGAGGCAAAATTGACTACAAACAAAGGCTCGAAACTTGAAATTGGGTCTCCCATTATTGTAACTGAGGCTCCCCAAATGCTCAAAACTGCAGCCTCTGTTCCTTGTCTACGCATTAATGCTGGCTTGGTTAAACCAGGCGACGTAGGAAGGTATAATCAATTTACGTGTTTATATACATTAGTTGTGAAAAAAATGGATCATTCGTACATCTTTTTAAGTGCTTTTTCTATAATTTATCTTACCAAACGAGCTATACATGCGTATTCCTAAGAATTGTGTGGAATTATTTTGAGCTTTGAATTTCATCATCATCATCATCATCATCATCATTATTTATTATTTATTTTTTAGCAGGATTGTCTCAAGAAAACCTAAGGATGTGTGGGCAGTTCGTCTTAGCATTGGTACTTACCTCATTGATGGAAAATATTTCAAGAGAGTATCCACCTTGAAGATGCTTAGTATTTTGATCGGTATACATGAATATTATAACATTTTATTATAGCATGGAGAAAGCATAACACATTCTCACTTCAACAATTTAAGGTCATTATTCGATTGCATTTTGAAGCATTCATATAGTGGCCGAAAGAAATACATCTTGGAGATCGATTTAGTGAAAGTTTGGCATACAACCCCCCCCCCCTCTCCCCCGGCCCTCCCATGTCATAATGCTCCTCTTCGCCTTTAATAGGCACATTGATATTCAATTTCTATTTATTACAAAGTGGAAGAGATTATTAACGTGTCAAAATACATATTGATTTTGAAATCACTAAAATGGAAATTCTGAAAAAGAAAAAGGGAAAATGAAAATATAAGAAGTGGGTAAAATAGAACACAACTGAGTATATAGGAGTTAAATGTTTTATTAATCACTAAACTTGTACCTCTGTCACACTTTACTCACTGGACTTCAAAATACTTCTGAGTGGTCACTGAAATTTAACATGATGAGTAAGTGATGAAGTGCAACATATTAAATTTTAGTAACAACTCGAAAGCATTTTTAAAGATTTCACAACGTCCTAACCCGTTTGAATGTGTTAAAAAAATGTATTTTAGAAATTTTTATTTTGAGAAATAAATAATTTAAAAGCAAGTCGAAGTTAATTAAAACACAAAGAAAGATATCGTTACTCTTTGAAACTAAAGACTAAAGAAGTCTCCTTTTGGGTGCCAACATTATCTATTCATACACAAAAAAGGAAAAAAGTTGAATCGAAATTATTGACAATAAGATTTCAAGAATGAACATTATTGAGAATTCATGAAAGCAATTATTGAGAATCTCACCACTTATCATAATATAGCAATCAAGTAAGTGAGATTCCATAAATTTACAGAAAATCAAGAAACTAAATTTTGGAAATCTTAAAATATTTTCAAAAATTATAGGGGATTTCATTTTGAATTATACGTTTTCTACGTATAAATACTCGCTAAAGCAAGCTACAATTATATTACATACAAAAATGGATATCTACAAATTTATTGTTCTTTTCGTTCTCATCAGTGTCCCCCCCGTAGCGTTCGCCCAAGAACCAGGTAAGCAAGCGGGTTGCACCAATTTTCTTGACTTTTAAAAATGATAACATTTGTATTTGTATATTGATATAATTGTGATTTGGCTTTGGCTTTGGCTCTGACTCAGGCTCTATTCAAGGAAAATCATGTTGTTGGTGGCACTTAATTGAATTGAATATAGAGTACACAACTTACTTTGTATATTGTTCGATAATCTTTCGTTAGTCAGAAGATTTCAAATTTGTTTTCTGATGATTTATTTTTATTCTGTTTATTTTATAAATTATACAAATTACCACATTGATGTCAAATAACACACACAGTGTTACATAGCATTAATTTAGATTTTAGCATAAGTAGCACTACTCATCCTCATTCTTTTAAAAAAATAGCATACACATCCCTACCCTTTTTTTTGCCGCAATTCATCCTCGACCTTTGGAAACTATTGAAAAACGTCATTGTTCGTGGATTCAATAAAAATGCATGTTGAAGTAATTTTTTTTTTAAAGATTATTTTTAACTAGGATTGGACAAAAGGATAGAACCAATCTAAACGTGATATTTTATCTTTTCTGGTTCAATGTTCGAACTGATTTCCATAATCATGAAGCAATTATTGACAATCTCACTAGTTATAATAATCTAGTGAATGAAATTCCATAACTTCTCAAGATCAAAAACAAAATTTTGGCTATATTACAGATTATGACAGCAAGGAATATGCAATTTTCATAAATTATCGCAATATATGCAATTTCCCATATATGAAAATATTCATTGTGTAACACTTATATAACCACGAAAGGGTGAACACATCACTATACTAACAAGTATATTCGTTGTTAATTAAATACGAAAATGGTTATGAACAAAATTCTAGTTCTTTTTGTCCTCATATGTGTTCCCCTTGTAGCCTTCGCTCAAGTGTTCCAACACCCAGTTAAGAGGGTCAGGGTCGCACCAACATTTTGTTTTTTTCTTAATTTCCCTCAATAATTTTAAAAAATGATAATAATTGTATTTTTGATTTGACAGAACTCTGTTTCGGGCAGTGCACGGGGCGAGGAGGTAATCATAAGTGCAAGCTGGAATGTCTAAAAATGCAGTTGGGGCATTGGGGTTACTGTAATGAACCAGTTCCAAGATCTATAGGAAAATGTTGTTGTGCAAGACAGCCCCCTCCGGCTTAGGCTCCATTAAAGGAAAATCATGTTGTTAGGGGCACCTAATTCAATTGAAAATAGTACACAAATTACTTGCTTTTGTTAGTGGAAAGATATCAAATATGTTTTTTGATGATTTGTTTGTATTTTGTTGTTGGGTATTGATGTCACGGACTAGGCTCTCTAGTTAATATTGCACATGAACGAATTATGGGAGTGTTTACAAGAGAAATCGATGATGATTTCTTTGTTGAAGCTAAAGAGTTTTGAAATAGAATCGACAAGATAAATGTGCCAATTATGGAACATGGATACAAAGTTGAAAAAACAATGCTATTCAGCCTTAATATGTGTGATAATGATGTCATTGTCATATTATTCATAATGTGGTAGTGATCTCGCCACTACATAGATTGGTGCTTAGCTGAATAAAATTGTTCATGACGGAAATAGATCAATTTTCTGTTGCAATGGATCTCAATACTACCTAAATTAGTGCTAAGCACCACTTGTACTAAATAGCATTACTATAGTATGACTTGTAGCTTTTATATAAGACATTATGCATACTTATTAAAATAAAAAATCCTAATCCATAAGACCATAAAACAAAGAAAAGACTAAACACAATTGAACTTAAGATACAATAATTGTCAAATTTGTTTTGTTGTTAACACAAGTTTTTAACCAGTTGCCCAAAACAATCTTTAGATTTTCACATTTGGTGAGGCTACATGAACTAGAAAATGCCGTTAAATGCTTTCTGTAGGATAGTAACAGAGTTTCATCTCATGAACAATAAATGAAATTACTATTTGACAATCTTTTCATGTCAAAAATTATACCAATTAAACACAATAATTGATAATTCTCAGTAAAACAATTTTTAGGCAATTTAATTCCCTAAAATTCATTTTTTTTAATCTAAATTTTATCTTTACAATCAAACGGATCCTGTAATTGTTATAGTACAGTAGTTGTGTAATTTTCCCTTTATAAAAATTCAACAAATTTGCATTGCGGGCCATACGGACTTAATCGAACCCAACTGCAACACGGTAACAGACCAAATCAGCAATTCCAATAAAGACCAAACTCCAAATTTGAAGCCCTAGTCCCCGGAGTATAACCTCTCCCCAAAACTTAAATAGAAAATTAGGAATCAGGATTAGGGTTTAGATCTTCGAATATTCCTCCCACTATACGTAAATTTATCTAATCCACCTTACTGTAATTCTAGGAAAAATGCATTAAAGATTGCGATGGGCAAGGAAGAGGTGGTGGTGAAAGAATCAAGAGCAGAAGAAGTTTCGTCTTCCGAGGAAGAAGAAGGAATGGTGAAAACTCCAATCAAAGAAGCGAGTACTGACGACGATGAAGAGGCAAATGTAGACCTCAGTTTGAAAATCGTTCAAAGAGCCATGCTACGAGCATGTAATGGAGATCCCCAAAAAGACGGGGTTTCCGACATTGTTACGAATTTAAAGGACAAGAAAAAGAAAAAGGAAAAAAAGGAGAAGAAAAAGAAGAGCAAGGAAACGGAAGCCCCTCCAGAAGATGCTGTAAGTATTGAGTTATGATTGATTTAGCAGGATAAACAAAATCTGTTTTTCGAAAAATTAGATTTTTAACTTGGTGATTTAATTGGCGAGTTATCAGCTAATAGACAGAAGAAATTGATTAATGCATTAATGAGTAATTTATTTCAATTTATAATTTATGGGTTTCTACTTTTTATTCAGGATTCAGGTGAATTAGATGCGGGTTTCAAAAACTTTTGCGGCGAATTGTTCCTGGTAGTTTGAATCATAGTGTTTTATATGCTACTGCATTGCTTTTTCCCTAACAATGATTAGCTGATTTTATTTTTATTTTTTGAATGTTTATGGGATAGCAGTAGAATGGAATGCACAGTTCAACGTTTAACTTAAGCAATATGTTAATTATATACATGGGATCAAAATAAATTTTCCATTTATTAATGATAAAGCAACTTCACATTTACTTATTCCTGGAGAAGTTTCTTGAATGGGAACATACTTCTTTGTTCATAATATTCCATTGTCAATATGTGTTTTCATTATTATGTTTCTTTTCTTTCCTATTGAATTATATAATGCTTTAAAATTGCAAACTTTTTTATTTTATTTTATTTAGCAGGTGCTCTGAGCTATTATCTTTTCTCATGGTTCTTTCACTCTCTTTGACTGTTTTAGGAGGAAAATGCAAAGGATGAGGAGAAGTCTGAGACTTACAAAGCTACTGAGATTGCTTATAAAGCAGTTGAAGTGAATCCTGTTGAGATGCCAGATAATGCTGTCCTCAGGAAGCTTCTCGTGAGTTGAAGTGATTTGTTTAAAAGTGTTGTTTTTAAGATATCCAAACATTCCATTCAAAAAGGCTTAGTTCGGTGTATCTGTTTATTATGCATTGTCGTGACCTCAGCGGGGGCCTAGGTACTTTGATCCTCAGGACAGTTGGGGAACATGCTATAATTGTGGTGAAGAGGGTCATACCATTGTCAACTGTACTTCAGCAAAGCGCAAGAAGCCTTGCTTTGTTTGTGGGAGTTTAGAACATAATGCCAAGCAATGTTCCAAGGTGTGTGGCCAGATGATTTATTAGCTGACAGATTTTACAGATTTGCTTTCTGTCACTTAATGATTCTTCTTACAACTTATTTTAAATTCCAACACACTGTAATTTACTTTATCTGGAGTGACATAAATTTAAAATGCATATGCTTTTCTTGTGCTGGTTCGTATGGGCAAAAAGGATATCTAAATTTTGTATAGATATTTGGTTCAAAGTAATATATCTGTACTAGAATGCTTGCTAGGTGGTAGTGGTTTTCTCATCCACCCCCATTTTTATTGAATAAAATTGAAATATCTTGGCATCATGTAAAGGTAAAACTTTGAGAAGGGAGCAAGCATGTAACTGGTATGCACGTCAGGAAGACTGATTTCTTCGTGTTTACCGCTCTTCACATCTAATCCTCTGACTCCAGGGGCTATGTGGAATGTGGGGAAGACTTTCACATTTTTTTATTGTCTGTAGACGATTGTGTTTTTTATCTATAAATATTGCCTGCAGATGATATCCTTATCGTGTAGTGCCTGAAAAATCTGTTGACACATGATAGCTTTATATATTAGATGCTATTTCCGAAAATGAAACATTTAGTTACTTATGAAAGCTGCTGTCTGGACACAGATGCCCAAAATCAACAGAGAGGTGTAGATGTGAAGTCTCTTTTACCGGATAATTTTGAAACTGTCAATAGTGGTTTTCAATGTGGCAGAGTTTTCCCAAACTAAAACCCGTTTGACAAATGATTGAGAGGACATTTCCAAAAGTTCTGCGAACATGGTGCAGGGAAATTCATTACATTGTATTTGCAGCAGACTGATGGAAGATGTCCATATAATTCTGCCAAGCACTTTACTATTTTTTTTGAAATAGTCTTATTGTACGTATACACCCATTGATACCACTGTTCATGTGCGAACTCATTTATAAATGATCTTGTAAAGGATTAAACAGTATTTACAGAGCATGAATATCTTATGCTTTTGATTTGGTCTAGTTCGCTGGTATTTTATTTTTTCTATCGTACAAGGCTTCCTCTAGATTTTAATTATTGTGTTCTGTCTTGTTTACTTAAACAGGGACAAGATTGCTTCATCTGCAAACAACAGGGTCATCGTGCAAAAGATTGCCCTGAGAAAAGCAGAGTGGAGCCACGAAGTTCTAAGATATGTTTAAAATGTGGAGAGTCTGGACATGATATGTTTGCATGCAGGAACGACTATTCTCATGATGACCTCAAGGTTCATGACTCTTCTGTTTGTGTTTGTATTAGTCGTGTTTTTTTTTAATGGTCTCAAGTATATGACATGTTGCTGAATGCATATGGGTCTGCTCCTTGATTTGATTGTACTAGCATATAATGATTAATTTTTAGCATTCCCGTTGATCCTTGCAGGAAATGCAGTGTTACATTTGCCAAAAGTTTGGTCATCTGTGTTGTGTAAACTATACTGATCCCACACCAAGAGAGCTCTCCTGTTATCGATGTGGTCTCTTGGGCCATACTGGTTTGGTGAGTCTACAAGATGTTATTGGTTTTGTTAGCAAGTTCATCAAATTATTTGGAAGACAAAATGTTTAGGACCAATTTAATGTTGTATACAATGTTTTAAACAGTTAATCATTTACTGTAGTGTCCTCGTAGAATTAGTTGTATGCTGAAACTGTTGTAAACTTTTATGTTCTTGTTTGATATGTTCTGTCAGTAGCCAGTCACTAAAATATCAAGTCATGCATTTCTACCACTTTCTGTACGTTGTCAGTTTAGAGTAGGATCTCAAGACATCTTCCCCTATTTTCTTGTGGACAATTCACGATCTCTTCAATCAGCTGTGGTAGTCTTCTTAATGACTTGAGTTCTTTTGAGGGGAGGATTGTAGCTGGGGGCTGGGTGATTGGTTTGAGAATTGGCTAAAAGATGCTTCAAATAATCATGTTTAGCTTCATTCCTTGGTTCGAGCTGAGTAGTTATCCTCCTCGTTGATATGCATATCGTTACATTGGGCATGTTGAACATTTTCCACTTATTCATACGAGATGGTATCTTTGCATGAGTGGACAATGTTTGTCGTTTGATGTACCAAGTCAGAATCTCAACAAGTGGGAGGACTACTACGAGTTTAACAACGCACTGAACTCAAGGAAGCATTATATTTGCAATATTAGCGTTTTGCTATTTGATTTGGGAGGTTTCTTGCATCTTTTTTGGCTTGATCAATTACTATTTTTTCTTATTTATGCAGGCTTGTACAGGGTCCCGTGGGGATACAACTACTGGATCAAGTAATTCCTGCTACAGGTGTGGGGAAGTGGGGCATTTTGCTCGTGAATGCACCTTCAAGGTTCCACATTGTGCATTTCATGATCCTTGGCTCTTAATTGTGTCTTTTTAATTCACAAACTCTGAACTACATCTGTATTCGTATCTCTGACCG